TATTTTATTATTTATGTTTTTACTCTGTATTTCAGGCTTGTCTGCTTGTAAGCCGCCATGAGTCCCTTTAGGGAGATGGTGGTGAGATATATAAATAAAATTGTTGTTGTTGTTATTGTTGTTGTTGTTATTTGAAACACAACAAGATGAGTCCATAGCAAATAAGATCATTCTGCTGGCTGTTGTATTGTCCCACACGTTGGATACTTCCCAAGTGTCTAGGACTGTGTGATGTATCAGCAAATAATGCATGCAGGGTATAGGGGTACAACCTAAGTTGGATGGGCTTGCACTCCCTCTGAAGATGCAGGTTCGCAGCTTGGGAGTGTTCCTGGATTCATCGTTGAGCCTGGAGCCCTAGGTTTCGGCAGTGGCCAGGGAGCTTTTGCACAATCAAAACTTGTGTGCCAATTGTACTCATAGCTTAGGAAGTCAAACTTGGCCACAGTGGTCCATGCTCTTGTTACATCCCGTATAGCCTACTGCAACACACTCTACGTGGGGTTGCCTTTGAAAATGGCCTGGAAGCTTCAGTTAGTCCAATGGGCAGCTACCAGATTTCTAACTGGGGTGTTTTAATCTGTTACTAATCTATATGTTTTATTTGCTTGACTGTTTTAATTGTTTTAGTTGACAGGATATGTTTCATGGTTCTGTTTTAAAAAGCATTGAATCTTGCTGGAGTTGTAAGCTGTCTTGAGTCCCCCCATGGGGGTGAGAAAGGTGAGGTATAAATGAAGCAATAAATAAATTCTGAAACTGCCTTATATGGCAGTGTAGGTGGGGTCTGAGTCTGCAAAAGCTTATGCTACTAACATCTTTCTTTTAGTTAGTTTCAAATGTGCTTGCAAGATACCCCTGCACAAGCCGTAGCCAGGATTCTGATTCGGGGGGGGGGGGGTGAGTTTGATTCGGGGGGGGCTGAGTCTGAGTGAAAGAGGGTCTACCCTAGCAAACCTTTTGTATCGTTACCCCAATACACCCATGCATATGAGATATATTGAGCATGGTGATCAGATCATGATATGAATAAACATAACAGTTTAAATAATGTACCAGTAAGGCCTTTTGCAGACCATCATGAGAATTTCGGGGGGGGCTGAAACCCCCAATCCCCCCCCCCCCCCGGCTACATGCCTGCCCCTGCATATCGATCCAGACTATCCCATCTGTCTTTGAATTTTGAGCTTAAGATAAATCAATAATTTTTGAGTTAGATCTAAGGTTCCTGCCTCACAGTATAAGGCAGTCATGGGCAAACTTCAGCCTTCCAGGTGTTTTAGACTTCAGCTCCCACAATTCCTAACAGACAATTCCTAACAATTCCTAACAGTAGGACCGAAGTTTGTCCATGACCGGTATAAGGTTTTTAAAATAGGAAAACAGTTATTTATGTTGCTGCTACTTCATAGGAGCTGGGGGTGGTAACGGCCGACAGGGAGCTCTGGCGTAGGCTGGTTCATGAGGTCACGAAGAGTCGGAGACGACTGAACGAATGAACAACAACACTTCATAGCACCATTAGGAGGGACAACAGATCATTTGGAACAAGCATTCAATTAGTTTGTTACTATTGAATTTATAGACTAAGGACTGGTTAACTATGGATGACGAACTCTGGACTGTGATTTTTTGTGACGAGAAGCATGGTATTATTATTGGTGGCCCAATAATTTGTATTGTTTACGTGTTGTTGTTTTAAATTGTACATTGCTTTTAATTGCTTTTAATTGCTGTAAACCGCAATGAGTCGCCGATTTAGGCTGAGATATTAGCGGTATACAAGTGTATTAAATAAATTAAATAAATAAATAAATTTGTCCAACACACTTGGTGTTGTTGGGCATATTTAGGAGATATTTACAATTTTTGGCTACTGTTTCCATATTAAATAACATGTTTCTATTGAATTTCAAATGAGGATTTCTACTTGCAATTCCTTTAGGGAATTGTTTTTGAACAACAGTGAATGACTACTTAGATAATTATCAGATACAAAGGTGTCACTGATAAATGGTAAGGTTAGTGGCCTATTTCGTTCCCTTCTGCTGGCTGGTAGCCTTCTTTTCCCCAGTCCTAACAATATGGAATTATGAGATGCTATAATCCCAGAGTAACTTTCTGCCTCATTCTTGTTTAAATATTCTGCTCCATTCTTTTCACAAAAATGTTGTGGTTTAAATTGTGCAGTTGATTTGTTCATAGACATCTTCGAATGTCTAATGGCATTATCTTTTTCTAATTATTATTTACATAGAGAACACATTCCAATTGGGAAAAACTGAAAATGATTTATTATCGTGCTGCTTTCTCCCTTGTTGAGACATTAATGAGAGTGATAAATAAGTCCAACTTAGATCTCTAGATTGCTGTTTGCCTCAAATGTGAAGCACTTTCCAATTATTTAGAAAGATGTATCATATTTTGATAAAATGGGCTTCAGCCTTATGCTGTAATATTTACTTTCATTGAAATCTGTTCAACGTACCATGAATAACTTAGCTATCAGGTGTCAGGCCCTTCTTAAAAGCTTGAAGTAAAAATTAGATCTTATTGGATGTGATAAAATGATGGCATTACTATGTACAGTAAAGTCATTATGTGGTACGATGGGGCTTTATAGCCTGTGCCTTCTTGGCTGAACGTGGAATGTAAAAGCAATGCGCATTGGATCACCATATGCTCTGTTCCTGGAGCCAAACGTCATTATTTTGAGTAAACTTTCTTCAATCTGCTCCCTCTCCTTCAGATGTATTGGCTTTCATTTCCCACCACCATTGCTAGAGCTGATGGAAAATGTGGTCCAAAAATATTTCAAGATATGTACAAGTAATCCAATTCTTTGTAGAAAATGAATGGCTTATGATGGGGAAAGGGAGTGGCGGAACATGTGGGCATCACCACCCATTGGCCCTAACCAGTTGAAGACTGATGGCCACAGATCATGGGGAATTGCTTTTTACTTATTCCTTACAGTATTCTACTCTTTGGCTGCTTAATGCAAAAGAATATAACAATTATCTTGGAATGTGAAGAGTAGCAATCTTACTATAGTCTGGATTTTAGCTTTTTGAAAACCATACCAACCTATAATGTCTGCCATGAGCCTGTTTAAAAGGATTTTATTTGACACGTTCCTTTGTCTTTTTAACATCTTATATAGCACTCATGCTTCAGCAAATGTAGTTATGATAATGTAATTTTTGCAATAATCTCTGAAGGAAAAAAAGAGATATAACCATTGCCAAAATACAGCCGCCATAGAGGCTTGAGTTTAAATCCAGGAATTTTTTGACAGGAAATGCTCCTCCCCAAAACTTGGATTGACTTATCCACAAGTCAGTGTAATCTGGGTGGGAAAACAGGAGTAGTGGTGGGTCTTTGGCATCGTTGGGAGAGTAGATGGGGTCACTGCTTCTTTTAGGTGTTTACAGAATGAACTAAGTTTTCACCTGAGTCCATCCTGTCAGAACCTATAAGAAGAACTGATCCACTGGACCTTCCTCCACTGTTGCGCTGCTTTTTAAGGGTCCCAGTGGGCCTTGGTGCTGCCACCCATTTCAGAAGACTCCTCTTGTGATGACTTGGTGGCTTCACTGTTCGGTACCAACAGTGTTTTCACAGTGGGTCAGGAGCTGGTTAACCTCAGAACCTTACTGGCCATCCACACTCTATTGCCACCACTGTTGTGTGAGCAGGACTGTTTAGCCAATGTGGCTACCTTTCCCTGTTGCCACCAGCAACAAGATGGTAGGAGTGGGGGGAAGGCGCTCCCACCTTACCTCCTTTCAACTTTTAGTTTTTATACCACCACTCTGAGTCATCCATCTTCAGCACTCCTCCCAACTCTTCAGATTAATTATCCAACCAAGAAAGTTATCTGGGCAGCTCCCTCAGCTCTGGTAACCTCAGCATGGACTTGGGTAGGTGTCCCCCTATTTTTAGCCCTCTCTGACTCTGATAACTAAGAGGGTTGGAGGAGAAACGAGAATGGAGTGAAGAATGTCAGGGAGAGAGAAAAGTGTATCCACCCCAACTAAGTCTTTGCAAGGGACCCCATTCCTTGGGGCAGCACCTCAGTTTGTATGCCTTTGTGTACATGTTGTGAGTGTGTAAGAGTATGTGTGGAGCCTCTCCCTTGTGCCATTCTTCTTTTACTCCTCCATCTTCACACCAGGAGCAGAGACTGCTAGCAAGTTTGCATCAACCCTTCAATTCAAAATCTCCCCAAAAGAATGGCCTTCACTTCACCAAAATGTCTAAATGTTTGAGAAGATGGGAATGCAACCCACACATTAAAATTTGATGCCTTCTAATTTTGAAGCATCAAATTTTGATGCCTTCTAAAACATACTTTTTTGTGAGAACAAAAAAATTGCTCAGTTTGTATGAAATATGCTCATTTACAGCCTCTCAGCTTCATATAGTTTTTGTTTGTGTGCCTTAAAGTCACTGGTTAACTTATGGTGAATTCATGAATTTCATAGGGTTTTCTTAAGCAAGGAATACTCAGATATGTTTTTACTAGTTTATTCCCCTGAAGTACAGCTTAAAGCACCTGGTATCCCATATAAATACTAACCAGAACAGACTTTACTTAGGTTATAATACCAGATGATGCCTGCACATTACCTGAGTCTAAAATTGATGTCCACATATTATCAGTGTGCATGGTACTCTTTCGATGTCGGTATACAATAAGGATAGATCACAAGTTTTATTAGAACTCTCAACACGAGTACTTCTAAAAAGCTCAGATTCTTCTCATGTGCAAATGAAAATGATCTGGAATTTTATTATTTTTAAAATATGGTTCTATTTTACTTCTACGGTAGAATAAAGACTCAAACCAAATTTTCGTTCTAATTTCTCTAAATCTTTAGACATTTCAGGGTGTTCTTCTGGGTTCATGGGTGGAATGCCAAGATTGGATCTGTGATATTGATATTTGTGTATTAAGGTTATTGCACTAGTATGAAATATTTTTGTTTGTTTTGTAGATTTACTTCTAAACAATTAACGTGACCATGGGAGATATGAAGACTCCAGATTTTGATGACCTTCTTGCAGCATTTGACATTCCAGATATGGTTGACCCCAAAGCTGCTATTGAATCTGGACATGATGATCATGAAAGCCACATAAAACAGAATGTGCATCCTGATGATGATTCTCATGCACCTTCATCATCTGATGTTGGTGTAAGTGTCATTGTAAAAAATGTACGGACTATCGATTCTTCTGAAGGAGCAGAGAAAGATGGCCACCATTCCACAGGAAATGGTTTACATAATGGTTTCTTAACTGTATCAGCTCTAGAAGGATATAATAAAGAAGAAGGCAAGTCTCTCAAAGATGAGGGTTCAGTTTCAGAGACTACACTCAAAGAGTCAACTTTCAGCCAGTTTAGCCCCATCTCAAGTGCAGAAGAATTTGATGATGATGAAAAAATTGAGGTTGATGACCCTCCAGATAAGGAAGAGATGCGTGGAAACTTCAGAGCTAATGTATTAACTGGGTCTCTCTCTCAGCATGATTTTGAAAAGTTAAAAGTGCTTGGAGGAGAGAACCTGATGAAGCCTGGAGTTGCAAGTTCGGGTAATGCTGATAAAAACAAGGTTCTTAAAAGAGACTCTGAAGCAAACTCTACATCTTTAGGTATGTATGAACCCTTTAAAGCAAGAAAACTAGATGATAAACTGCTTAAAGATAGTCCAGAAAAACCACTTGAAAATAGAGTGCTGGATGGAAAAATAGGCACTGAAAAGGGGGACACAAATCTTACCAGTGTTTCACAGTCTAAAGCAAAATCATCCTCAAAACTCTCCTCGTGTATTGCTGCAATTGCTGCGCTTAGTGCTAAAAAAGCAGCAACGGACATTGTTAGAGACCCACAGTCAAATTCGAGAGAACCGTCACCCTTACCGAAAGATATAAGTGAAAGTCCTAGGGCCATTGATAAATCACCTGAATCTCAGAGTCTCATTGACTGCACTAAAAAATCATCCATGAAGCAACCAGATAGTCCCAGAAGTATATCAAGTGAGAACAGTAGTAAAGGGTCTCCACAGTCACCTGCAGGCTCAACACCAGCAATTCCAAAAGTTCGCATAAAAACTATCAAAACATCATCTGGGGAAATCAAACGAACAGTTACAAGAGTGTTGCCAGAAATTGATTTGGATGGCAATAGAAAGCTAGAGCAAACAGCTTCCATGGTGGCTTCCGTAACATCATTGTTGTCTTCTCCAACTTCTGCTGCTGTCCTGTCTTCTCCCCCAAGAGCACCACTCCAGTCAACGGTGGTCGCCAATGCAGTTACTTCTGCAGAGCTCGCTCCAAAACAGGTCACCATTAAACCTGTGGCTACTGCTTTTCTTCCGGTATCAGCTGTTAAGACAGCAGGATCCCAGGTTATCAACCTGAAGCTTGCTAACAACACCACAGTGAAGGCCACAGTGATATCTGCAGCATCGGTGCAAAGTGCCAGCAGTGCCATTATCAAAGCGGCCAATGCTATACAGCAGCAGACTGTTGTGGTGCCAGCATCCAGCCTTGCCAGTGCAAAACTTGTGCCAAAGACTGTCCATCTTGCCAACCTTAATCTACTGCCTCAAAGTGCTCAGACCACCTCTGAACTCCGCCAAGTGCTCACCAAACCTCAGCAACAGATCAAGCAGGCAATAATTTCTGCTGCAGCTTCACAGCCATCAAAAAAAGTATCCCGAGTCCAGGTGGTCTCATCTCTACAGAGCTCTGTTGTCGAAGCTTTCAACAAGGTGCTCAGCAGTGTTAACCCTGTCCCCATTTACATCCCAAACCTTAGTCCTCCTGCAAACGCCGGCATCACTTTACCCACACGTGGTTATAAGTGTTTGGAGTGTGGGGACTCATTTGCTCTTGAGAAGAGTCTGGCACAGCATTACGATAGAAGAAGCGTGCGCATTGAAGTTACCTGCAATCACTGCACAAAGAATCTTGTTTTCTACAACAAGTGCAGCCTTCTCTCTCATGCACGGGGACACAAAGAGAAAGGGGTGGTAATGCAGTGTTCCCATTTGATTTTGAAACCAGTTCCAACAGATCAAATGATATCTTCTTCTACAGGTAATACTTCCGTTACAGCATCCATTCTTCAGAGCTCCATTATGGGCTCTCACTCTATAACAAAGATACAGTCTGGCATAACTGGGACAGTCATATCGGCTCCCCCAAGTACTCCTGTTCCTCCAGCAATGCCTCTAGATGAAGACTCATCAAAGCTATGCAGGCATAGCCTCAAGTGTTTGGAATGTAATGAAGTTTTCCAAGATGAGACAGCTCTAGCGACACACTACCAGCAGGCCGCGGATTCAAGTGGACAAGTACAGTATTCTATCTTTATATTCCAGTGTTTCTGCAAGAAATATAGATATTTTTCCATGTTTCCTTAGATTTTTTTAGTTTCCTTAAAGTAAAGTGGGGAATGGTTACAAAAATATCTTTAAAATACACAGGAGGGAATTTGGAGGTAATGTGTTATGCCTTTCGTATAATAGAATAATTTGCTCTTACATTTGAAAGAACAAAATTGCTTTTAGGAATATATACAGTCTTTTGTGCCACAGTCCTGGGACAATGAGCTGCGGAGTGCAAGAAATCATTTATTTAGATTTAAGTTCTGCTTTGTATTGAGCAGGCTCTAACAGTTCAAAAGAATCTGTTTTCTCCGTGTAGCATTTTCATTATTTCTGTACAAACTTCCTGTTTCCTTGTAAATGAGTTACAAACAGAGTTCCTCACTCCTGAACTAATCTGAATGAGTTTTAGAATATCACCCCAAACTCCTAAGCATCCAGGTATTTAAGGGACTTGTTCTGAAGTTACATTGGAGTTGGGAGAATCCCCGTTTTTGGAAACCTGATCCAGAATAGATCTGTTAGCTGTCAGTAGCCAAAATGTGATGTCAGGGCTCCAGTTTTCAGTTTCTCAATGTTAAGGTTTATGACTGAAGAGCTTTGCCTCTAGTCAGTCTAATGAGTCATGGATCAAGTGAGGTTTGATCTTAGTTTCTATCTGAACTCTTAACATGATTTTCTCAAGGGAAATAGTTTGTTCTCCAGTGTTGTCTTTATTTCCAGTTTAATGTTATACATTTTATGCCTTCTAGCATAAACACACACTGTTTTGGATTTCTGTTTGAAGGAATGTAATATGGCAGAAATTAATGTCATCAGAAGAACAGCTCACCACAACACAAACCATCCTTGTTTACTTGGTTGCTAGGGGTTTTTCAGGCTGTATGGCCATGTTCCAGAAACATTATCTCCTGATGTTTCGGCCACATCTATGGCAGGTATCCTCAGTGCTTGAGGTGCCTTTTAGAAACTAGAAAGTGAGGTTTGTATATCTGTGGAATGTCCAGGGTGGAAGAAAGAACTTTTGTCTGCTTGAGGCAAGCGTGAATGTTGCAAATGGCCACCTTGATTAAAACCCAATTGCCTAGTTTCCAACAGACCCCTCAACCTCTGTGAATGTCTGCCATAAATGTGAGCAAAAGTCAGGAGAGAATGCTTCTGGATCATGGTCATACAGCCCAGAAAACTCCCAGCAGCCCAGTGATTCCGGCCATGAAAGCCTTTGACAACACATCCTTGTTTACATTTTCTAAAGGAGAGTAAAGCTGGATTTAAATGATTAGATAAAATGAAATAATTGAGGGAAATCCAATAAAGAAGGGAGAACCTGAAAAGAAAATGAGACTAAACCCTGGGCTATTATCCAAACCTATTTCTGATACCTTGGTGATGGTTACATGCCTTCAGCAATGAGCCTATCAACAGAGACTTATTATGATTCTATCAGAGGGTTCTCTTGGCAAGATTTACTTCCAGGAATTTTGCTATTTCCTTCTTCTGAATCTCAGAGAGTGTGGCTTGCTAGTAGGTTTCCATGGCAGAGTAGGGCTTCCAGCTCTTGTCAACACTCAAAATATTCCTCCTAAATACCTTTATCAGGTCACCAAAAAGGCACAAAATTCCTTGTGCAAACCTTTGAAACATCAGGCATTTTTAAAAAATAAAACAAACAAACAAGTCGGTTGACCTAATAATAGTAATAGTCTAATATAGACTTTGGAATGTGTAGTATGAACTACAAGGCTACCCACTATATTTGTGTTGTCCTAAAGATATAAAAGCTCCCACTGGTGGTGCAGCGGGTTAAAGCACTGAGCTGCTGAACTTGCCGACTTAAAGGTTGGCAGTTAGAATCCGGGGTGCGGGGTGAGCTCCTTGTGTTAGGCCCAGCTTATGCCAACCTAGCAGTTTGAAAACATGCATATGTGAGTAGATCAATAGGTACTGCTTCTGTGGGGAAATAATGGTGTTCCATGCAGTCATGCCGGCTACATGAATTTGGAGGTGTCTATGGACAACGCCGGCTCTTTAGCTTAGAAGTGGAGATGAGCACCACCACCCAGATTCGCACACGACTAGATTTAATGTCAGGGGAAACCTTTACCTTTTCTTAAAGTTATAAAAAGGCAGTGAAAGTTATGCACTTTAGCTATAGGAACAATATTTAGTCCCTTTGAGTTGCTTCTTTGACCTTTACATTTGTCATACTTTGTTTTTGAGAACAAAAAAAAATGTCGAAAATGCTCTCTTTTTTACAAGTGCTGATAGATATTTTTGGAGATATTGTTGTATGCATCTGAAGTACAGTGGACTTTATTCATTTGGGAGTCCTTTATTTGATAGACAATGTTTCATTTGATGTTTTGTTTTCATTAATTAAGTGTTCTGTATAAAGTTTCATAATCATTCCAGGCATTTGCTTTTTAAGCTCCGTTAATGTGCGAAGTCCATGCAATGACATGCCTGTTCTGGTTTGCTGGCCTGTCAGAAACAGGTCTGAAAAGTGTTGATGAATGGCTCTTATTTCCCTCTGTATTAGTAGGTTGCATATTCGACACTGCTTCTAATATAGTTTGTGGCTATTAAACATAATATAAACAGATGAATGTTCTATCCTGTCCCATTGTGGACATTCTGTGGAAATGTCTGCTGTAGATGCAGAGATATGACTAAGGCATTAAAGCAAAATCCAGATATGTAGTTACATTGAAAGTTTTTAAAGAAGTTTCATTTCATGGAATCATAGTATGAAACATTAGATTTTAAGATTAATTTGAGAATATATTATATACAGTAGGTAAATTATCATTAATTGACTTGTTAATTTGGAACGTTAGTATTGAGCCAGGTCCTGAGATTTTCAGAAAATAGTATGGAGTTTTTGAAGGATTTCATGGCCAAAATCACTGGGTTGCTGTAAGTTTTCTGGGCTGTATGGCTATGTTCCAGAAACATTCTCTYCTGCAGTTTCGCCCACATCTATGGCAGGCATCCTCAGAGGTTGAGGGGTCTGTTGGAAACTAGGCAAGTGAGGTTTATATATCTGTGGAATAATGTCCAGGGTGGAACAAAGAATTCTTGTCTGTTTGAGGCAAGAGTGAATGTTGCAATTGGCCACCTTGTTTACTGCAAGGCTATTCAACAATGGATTCCCCCAGACAAGAAGCAGACAGGCTTTGAAGCTGCAAGGCCATTCGATGCTAATCAAGGTTGCCAATTGCAACTTTCATGCTTGCTTCAAACAGACAAGAGTTTTTTCTCCCACCCTGGACATTCCACAGATATATAAACTTCACATGCCTAGTTTCCAACAGACCTCACAATCTCTGAGAATGCCTGCCATAGATGTGGGCGAAACATCAGGAGAGAATGCTTTTGGAACATGGTCATACAGCCCAGAAAACTCACAGCAACGGAGCATAAAGTTTGTCTCTGTTGAATTTTGGGGAGCCTTGTAAGTCCTTCAAGAGGGGTTTTTTTTTTTTTGCCCTTGTAAAGTTTCCCTCCCCCAACCTGATATTTTTTCCCTACTTAAATTACAAAGTCTAAGATAGGATTGTTGTTTGGAATAGTGGAAATAGAGCATTTCTGGGAACTATCAAATTTGGGAATGCAATTCCGAAGCATAGGATTGCATTTTGCAACCTCTTTAATTATGTCTCTCTCCTGCTCCCATATATTTCATTTACTCTGCCTTGTTTGGTAGAGATTAATAAGTAGTGTTCTATTTCAGACAGAGGATAATGATCCACTCCCAGTATAAGTGGTTGACTGCAGATATGAATGAGTCAACAGTGGATATCAATGAAATAATTAATCAACAAATAAATTTATCACAAAAGACCCAAGGACAGGAAAAGATGCATAGTGGTGGATCCAGGAAACGCAGGCAAGCACCCTCTGTAAAGTATGTGGTCGTCTCCAGAGAGCATAGCAGCATTTTAATTATTTTTTAGAATGATAATATACATGTATTCTAATAGACTGAAAAAGAATAATGTAATTAAAATCCCACTTCACAAGTGTAGCTGTTCTTTAGTTGGTGGAACAGCCTGTCAGATTAATTTCACCAACACATAAGATTTGGGCATGCTGAAATTTTTTTGCAGCCTTCATATTCTACGTAGTTCTTATGTGTTCTGTGAGATTGCCATTCTGTCACTTGAGTCAAGATATAGTGACAAAAGAGAGAAATGTATTATTGTGTTAGATTTTGTTATTTCATCTTTGGAAGAGTGCTTTCTTAAGCATTCAGAGCCTGGGTTGATCAGGACCTTTAACTGTAAGAATCTCCTTTATTCCATTTGGATACATGCTTATAATCCTTTCGGGTTATTGGCATATTATATTTGCACGGTGTGTGTTTTGCTTTATGGGGGAACCTTGTCATTCCTGGAACAATATGAAAATAAGCATTGCCCTTACGGATAATTGTTTGATCTATCTCCCTTTTCTCTCCTTGGACAGTTTTCTGTGCCTTTCCCCCCTTTTTTCCTGAATTACTTGATCATTCTAGATCCTAATCTAGGGACCTTCCCCTAAAATTAATTTTTCAGAGATGGATTTTCTCACCAGGTTTTTGCTTGAACTCAGACTGCCAAATCTATTTTGGCACCAGTCACTGCCCACTGCTTAGCTCATCTTTGTAGCCATTGCTTTATCCAGAACTGAGTGTGTTTTTTCTAAGCTCTTGACCTTATTAGGCCTGTCATTGTCATCATTTATCTAGATCACTACGCTAGACTTAGCTGTTGGAATTGTGGAATCAGGGCCTTAATACTGCCACTTCTCCTTGCGAAGTCTGCCTCTAAGGCCCCTTCCACAGAGCTGAATAAAGTCCCACATTATCTGCTTTGAACTGGAATATATGGCATTGTGGACACAGATAACCCAGTTCAAAGCAGATATTGTGGGATTTTCTGCCTTGATATTCTGGGTTATTTGGCTGTGTGGAAGGGCCCTAAGAG